TATTTTGTTATAGTTACACAGAGCCATGGCAAGCTGAGAGATGTTATTTTAATACCCTAAAAACCAGTTGTGGTGCTGCAAGCTGCTAGGATATGCTGAAGAGGCAGAGACAGTACAAGCTTGTAGCTAGTTGTTTTACTCTTTGACTCTTTGGGGAACCCACCACCCAGCTCCCAAATAAGTCACCCTGAGTCTTATTCTTTCTTATGACTGCCCAGCCTTAACTTGGCTTGTTTCTAGCCAGTTTTTCTTAAGTTATCCCATCTACCTTTTGACTATGGGCCTTTACATTTCTCTATTCTAGATACCTTTCTTTACTTCTTACTCTGTGGCTGGCTATGTAGCTGGGTGGCTGGGCCCTTGAGTCTTCTCTCCTCATCTCTCTCCTTGGTCCCTCTTCTCTTTTTCTCCTGCATATTCTCTCTCCTGCCTAGCTATTGCCCATTCAGCTCTTTATTAGACCAATCAGATATTTTAGACAGGCAAAGTAACACAGCTTTACAGAGTTGAACGCAACACATCTTTGCATCATTAAACAAATACTCCACAGCATAAACAAATATAACACATCTTCAACTAATATTCTACAACACAAGTTCAAGGTCAACCTGGAATAAAATCCTGTCTTCTTGAAATGACAAGGCTATTGAACTCTCAAACTCACAGCAGCTTTTGTTACATGCATAAGATTAAGAAACAAAATCTGTCAACATTCCAGCAGGCAACACTAATTGAACTCAGCAAGTTATTCACACACACACACACACACACACACACACACACACACACACACACACAAAGAAGAGAGGAAATGAAAGTGGCAGGGATGTATTGGGGTATCTTCAGGGAATGGGGGGGGAGAGTTGGGATAAATATACGTGGCCAAAGATAAATAAATATATATGTATGAAACTGTCAAAAATTTAAAGTAAGTGTGTGTGTGTGTGTGTGTGTGTGTGTGTGTGTGTGTGCTTAATCCACAAGGATGACCCAGATAAGATTCCTAGCAATACTGGAGAAGGTGCTTGAACTAGCCTTCCCCTACAATCAGATTAGTGACCTACATCTAGTAACTGACGGAACCAGATGCAGTGATACACACCCAAGCACTGGGCTGAGCTCCGGGAGTTCAGTTGAAAAGAGGGGGAGGGATCATATGAGCAGAGGGAGTCAAGATCAAGATGAGAAACCCACAGAGACAGCTGATCCAAGCTAGTAGGAGCTCACAGACTCTGGACTAACAGCCAGGGAACCTGCATGGGACTGAACTAGGTCCTCTGAATTTGGGTGACATAGGGCCCCAGTTAGTGATCTGTTAGTGTGTCCCCTGACAGTGAACCCAGGACTTATCCCAGGCACATCAACTGCCTTTTTTGGAACCCATTCCCTGTGATGGGATGCCTTGATAAGCCTTGATACAGCATGGAAGGGCTTGGTCCTACCTCAACTTTGTGTGCCAGACTTTGTTGGATCACTAAAGAAGACCTTACCACCTCTGAGGAGTTGATGAGGGGTTGGATGAGAGAAGTAAGGGGTTGGGAAAGGGGAGGTAGGGGTGACTGGGGTTGGTATGTAAAATGAAAAAAATTAAATAAACGTGTGTGTGTGTGTGTGTGTGTGTGTGTGTGTGTGTGTTTAAAAGCTCAACAACTTTAACTAGTTTCCTGGTCTAATTGCAAACTAAAAATAAATTAATCCCCCGAAGACACTGGCCAGCTCTACAGAATTTCAACCACTGTCACAAGTAACTAGAAGTAAGACCCACCAGGGGGCAGCAGAACTGCATTATGACAAACTGGTTGACAATCACCCTAAGAGGTCCCAGTATTTTGCTAGACTTTTGGAAATCTCAGCCTATGCCTAGACATCAACTTCTGCTCCACTGTGTGCTTGCTTGATGGTCTCTCTCTTAAGTTCTGACCTCGTGTGCCTCTTTCCATGGATAGAAGAGCATCTAGGAGCCTATGTGTGCATCAGCACTGCACACACAATGGCCTCAACTCCCCACCAGTTTCAATCATGATGGGGGACTGCCAAGGACAGAGCAGGTAAGGAGAGCAGTATAAGGTCACAGAGAGTCACAGAGTCAAAAGGCCACACTATATGCTGCCTCCCAGCCTGTGTCTCTGCCACTCCAGATTTTTATCTTACTTTCTGATCCTAAGATAGAAAGTAAAGTAACCAAAAGCACTGAGATTAAGTTTGGCTACTAAGGTTAGCACGACCTTTCCCATCCCCAAATCAATCTTCCTTTTAGCTGAAGGATTCAGTTCTGTTGGGTGATACTGGGAATGAATTGACCATGTAGAAACAAAGACAGCACCCAGCTGGAGGATGGGATAGGAGGCCCACATCTGGGTGCACCAGGGCTCTCTGCTCCAGACAGACTGCAGAGAAGCTGTCAGTCATCCAGAGACCCCTCAGCCAGGCTCTCCACAGCTCTCCACATTTTTCATAAGCACAAAATGAACCTGAGCCAACAGCTGAATCCTCTCTAAACAGAACAACAACAAAACACTTACAGGAGGGTCTTGTGGATTCAGTCACAGCCCATTTTCCTGATTCACAGAGCTATCCTGGGACAGTGGGGTCTCAATGTTCAGCTGGGCTTCTAGACCTGAAGATTCAAGGACAATAGAAGACAAGATATCCCCTACCCACAGGATCTGTTTTCAACCTGTGTATGCCTATTTGTGAAGGCTGATCTTCATTGTCAACTTGAGTGGATTTGGAATCATCAAGTAGAGGCTTCTTGGAGCATTTCTAAGGGTTTTCCAAAGGGATCTGAGGAGGAAATGTCTGCTGACCTCACCATGCACTGGGAGCCCAGACCTAGAAAATAAGCTAGGCCTCTCTCTCTCTCTCTCTCTCCCTGTGTGTGTGTGTGTGTGTGTGTGTGTGTGTGTGTGTGTGTAGTCTTTATATGTCTCTGCTGTCTGTCTCCCCTCTGTGTGTTTGTGTGTCTGTTTGTATATCTATAGTCTCTGTGTGTGTATGTGTGTATGTCTATGTGTCTATAGTTTCTGTATGTCTCTGTCTGTCTCTCCTATGTGTGTTTGTGTGTGTCTTTGTGTGTATGTGTGTCTATAGTCTCTCTCTCTCCCCTGCTGAGTATCCCTCTGAAGCCACTTCCAGCTAAAATGTTCTTCCATCAGCATAGTTGAGCCACCAGGTATCAGCCTTAAACAGTTGATGCTTCCTTATCACCCCCAAATATGACCCCATAGCTATTACAGTTTGAGTGTGAAACATCCTACATGGGCTTGTGTGCCTAAAGTGTTGGCCTCCAGCTGGGGGTGCTGGTTTTGGAGGTTGTAGGACCTTTAGGGATGTGGATTCTCACTGGAGGAAGTGGTAATTAAGAATAGATCTTATAGGATAGAGCTACCTCTGCTTCCAACCTGATTTCTCTACTTCCTGACCAATAGAGAATATATCCAGTCACATCACCCTCTGGCTGTTCCAGCCACAATGTTGTCCCCACTGGGTAGACTGTATCCTCTCAAACTGGGAGCCAGAATACTCTCTCTTCCTTGAAGCTGTGGCTTGTTGTGTATCTGGTCAGAGCAAGGAAAAAAGAAACACAACAGCCCACTTGCATGCAATGTTGAATACAAAGGAGAGATTAGAAAACATCCTTTTATTAAAATGAATCCATTGTGGCACTTGCTCAGGCATGACAGAGGGTGTGGAAATGAAATCAGTGGATATGCACATATTTGGAATGAGATAAAAAGGTTCTGGTATTTCTGACAAGATGTAGGGAGAACTCAAGAGAACAGAGCTGAGTACTGTGTAAAAATGAGTATTCTGTGAAGAATTAGCTGGTGAGACTTCTGCATTTACTTACATTCAACTTCAAAATCAGTGGAATATGTATGATGTAAAGCTGTATGACATATGTATGGCTGCTTTGCCAAGGGATTAGCAACTGAAGTTTTGCTTGCCTACCTTCCACCTACCAAAAGCCAATTGCATTCCATACTAGAGCATGGTGGTACTCCAGAATAAAGACGTGAGATCTGCCCTGGAGACTTCTCTCTTTGCCATGCCACCACAAGGCTCTGTCCTTAGGGAGCAGCTGCTGCCCATGCCCTACTGCACTTCAATCTAAGAGTATGTCTCTCCAGCCTTGTAGAGCCCATAGACTTGGCAGCAGGAAGCCAGGACAGGAGCCAAAGTCTGGATATGGAAAGCACTGGGTTCAATCTCAGCTCAGCCACCTGAAGCCCATTGCCTGACTTCCCAGCCCAGTTACTACTAGGCTCCGCAGCCCCAGTCCTGAGACAGCTGGAAACACTTTACCCAGGTTGTTCAGCCAGACCTCCCAAGGTATGACTCACCAAACTCAGAAAATAAGAAAATAGCCAAACTTGTATGGAGAAATCCAGGGTTCAAACAGTAGCAGAGAGGGCACAAATGCTCTGCATCTGTCTCCCCCATGTCCCTCCCAATTCAGCCTCCCAGGGCCATATCCTAGAAGGGTAGAGCAGGGCATAATAGTGCAGGTAAGACAGACTTCAAGAGAGCTCCGGACAATGTGTATAGGAACATGTCCAGAGGCCACTGTTTCTGTACAGCATATATTCTGAGTCAAGGGCAGGTATCACAGGATGACAGCCCTCTGTTTTCTCACAGTCAGAAGCATGGTGACCTTCCTGACCCAGTAACACCTTTCCAGAGATGAGCCAGCATTTGGATCTTTAGGGAGCTCCCTCTGCCTGCCCAGCTTTACTTGTAGTACCCAATTCACATCCTCTGGTCCCAAACTAATCTACTCAAAAACACTCTGCAAAAACCCTCCCATAAACCTACAACAGGGATCAGAAGCTAGACCCCGATCCTTCCCTCAAAGCTGTGGGGTTTTTGTTTGTTTGGTTGGTTGGTTTTATTTTGTTTTCTGAAGTTTGGGAAGCTTTCCAGTTGAGCGTATATATTGTTGACTTTTCATGTCCTCTGTGACAAAATGCCAGACAAAAGCAACTTAAGGAAGGAAGGGTTTATTGCATTTTTCACTCACAATTCAAGGGTACAGTCTGTCACAGTAAGGAAGACATAGCAGTAGGAGCGTGAGGCAGCTGGTTATACTGCATCTGTGGTCCAGAAGCAGGAGGAGATGAACACTGGTTCTCAGCCCACTTTCTCCTTTCTAATTCAGCTCAAGACCCCAGTCCATGAAATAGCGCTGTTCAGTCAAGATGGGCTTTGTCACCTCAATTCATCTAATCTGGAAACTCATTGACATGCCCAAAGGTTTAGCTCCTGTTTGGTTCTAGATCCTGGCAACTTCATGATCAACATTAGCCATCACAGTACCCATGAGTGACAGCTACTATATAGCTTCCATGTTGTGAGGAAGCCCAAACTATATATATGGGTAGCCAGGAGAGTATCTTCCCATCAACCAGCAGACATTTTAAAAACTAGCTTTTAGATGACTGGAGTGCCCATCCTTGAACCACCCCAGCCTTCTACCCTCCAAGTGAGGTTTTTAAACCTTGTGCACTACAATTGAACTATTCCAGCAGTGACTAAATTAGGGTTTCTAACCTAGAAGATAGGAAGCAAAGATGCTGGGGTGGAAGTCAACCTGTGAGTATCTTTCAACACTCCCATAACACTGAGTGTGGACCAAGGTTCATTGAATAATCCAGACTAAAATAGGGATCAGCTTACGAGACCCCATACACAACAGGGGCATTAAATTGGGGGGGGGAGGCAGAGCCCCCACGATTTATATCACATATCTCTCTTATTCTACAGAAACGTGCTCAAGAGAATTCCTATAAATTAAGCATGGCCCCGGCCAGATGGGCCCCAATGGGGTTGAGTCTTAACAGATGATTAACCATTTGTTCAGAAAGACTTCTGGAGTTTGCAAGGGATTGTCCAAAATCACCAACATAACTGAACTCAAAGAGCACTGCTGTCCCCTTGTCAAATGTGACTGGTGGACTCTGGGGACAGCAGTGTCTGTCAGAGAATGGTGCATCCACAGCAGTACCGCTCAGGGTAGTCAGCCACGTACACCTGGTGGTCCGTGCCATAGATGTAGTAGACAGAAGTCTTCCCTTGGTACCAGTAGTGAACTTCTGTGATGGGGATCAGCTCGATGGTCTGACGCTGAGGAAACAAATGGCCAAACACAGAGTCTCACTCAAGTCACTCCTTTGTTTACAAAGCAGCATCAGTTCCCTATGGCTTGCAGGGTAATGTGCAGAGCTGGGTGCACAGGATCTGACCATCAAATGCGCCTCCTGCTATGCTCCTGAGCTAGTCCCATTTCTGTTGTGATACAATATCCAGACCAAAAGCAGCTCAGGGGAGAAAGGGTTTATTTGGGCCCATAACTCTATGTTACTGTCTATCTCTGAAGGGAGCTGATGCAAGAACTTGAAATAGCTTGTCATGTACCAAGTCCAGAACAGAGAAAGAGGGAATGCATGCATGCCTTCTCATGTTCATCATTTTTTCTCCACCCTTGCACAGCCCAGGACTCAATCCTACAGCATGGCACTGCCCACAGTGGATGGGTCCTACCACCTCAATGAACACAGTCATGACAATTCCCCAAAGCCATGCCCACAGCACAGCCCAATCTAAACAAAACTTCACTGGGACAGACTCTTCCTAGGTGATCCCAGGGGGACTTCAAAAGAAGCCCCATGACATTTCCAGAAGCATAAATGTCTCCATGAGGTACTGGATAGGGGTGAAGAGCTAAGTTGTTTTCAACACTTTCACATCCAAACTGCACAAAGATGTCTGGAGTGGCTCAATGATTTTGATTTTAAGATAAAATGTCAAAGAAATGCCAGCATTTGGTGGATTGTATTAGGCTTATCTGTTCAGATGTCCCTCAGCCACCAACATAGTTGTGTGTCAGCATGGCCTCCGAGGAGTCTTTCTCAAATGCTTTCCTTTTTGCAGATGGGAAAAAAGAGGCTGGTGAGACTTTCGGTTCTGAGCAGCAAACACTCCAAACCTGGGCTCCTCACCTTACCAGTCCTCATGTCAAGCTCAAATCTCCCCCCTCCCCCAGCATCCACCTGTTCCTAAACAACTTCCCCAGAAAAGGAAGTAGAGTTCTCTATCCCCCACAGAGTCTGCCTCAGTCAATCCTCTCCAGTAGCTAGTTCAATCCTCTCTGAGTAGCTAGTTCAAAGCATTCCCAACCCCCAGTTCTGCTAAAGAAGAAAGTGAGGCTCCTGAGGTGAGGAGAGGAAGGTTCCCTGTCACCTTTAGTTCATAGTACTATTTGGCTGTTGGCAAAAGCAACCAACAACTGATATACAATTGTGGCTTCTCCTGAAGAGGAGCTAGGAACATAGGACATTGCCTGGGATCAGGGTTGGAAACTTCTGTGACCCTTCCTGTGTGGTACTGAACTCCATTCCTCTAGACCTTGACTTTCTTATCTATGGATTGGGGTCAAAACTGTCTCAGAGTTGGAATGCCAAATATCAGAAAACTAACTCATACTCATAAACCGGAAGCAATGACAAAAAAAAATGTCATTTTGGAAATCAGAGGCAGAAGCCAAAGCACCCCCCTCCCCAAACTGTTATACAAAGATTCCTAAATGAGGACTAACAGGCACATGAAGGTGGGAGCCAAGGCTGCTGCTCAGAGGCCTGGGCAGAGGATCAGCAGCACTCTGGCTTCTAGACCTTTCTACAAGATGCAGCAGCATCCGCCTTTCCATCCACTGTGTGTTCAGAAGATCTGCCCCTGAAACCACAAATCACCCAAGCCTGCAGTCCTTTCAGATAATGGTCTGCTTGTAATCAGAGAGGATTCTAGATATCCACCTGCAGCAGCTGGAACTGTGCACATAGTGGTGGCTGCCACCCCCTCATGACTAGATTCCACTCCCTACCTTCTATAGCAAAAATAAAACACCATTGTAGAGCATTGGCTCAGTCAGGACCAGTTAGAAAAGAGTCTCTCAGATGTGACCTCAGTCATAGTGGATTATGTTGTTTGAGATAAGACTGTGTCCTGGGAGGAAGATTTCAGAGGCCACACCAGCCACTCATATACCTTGTCATTTAGAGCACCAGGTTATGAAAGGACTCACATTGGCCACTCCCTGAGCATAATGGTCCCCAGACAGTGACCGGTGTGTGCAAACTGCTCAAGTCATATTGTTCCTCAAGCCCCAGTATTCCTGAGCCCTCCTGCCAAGCCCAAAGTAAATGTCTCAGCTGGGGCCCCTCCTTCACTTAATACGAACTGTCCCGGCAGGAGTGGAGATATTCTAGAAAAGCACTTCTGTTCCTCCCACTCAGAAATACTGGATCCCAAGAGTTGGAATCTTCCCCTGGGAAGGGATGTCACACAAGGTGTCAGCCTCCTTGCAGAAGAGGGGAGAACCTGGAATCTGATGGGTCAGTAGTGAAGGATGGAACCACACCTTGACCAGGACCCAAACCTGTCAGGACCCCAAAGGCAAACCTAGAGGAGGGAGTCACCGAATTTCTTTACTTATGCCTCTTCTCAGCATGCTGCAGCGAGTGCCTCTTTGCCTATTCTCGTTTCATTAGTTCACATATTGGGAACAGGTGGCCAAACCCAGATAGTGGGCTGCCAGGGGCCAGGTTCTGCCACTAACAACTCAAGTAATAGCTATAACACTCGGCCCATGCCAAAGTCAGTTCCCCGGGAGACTAGAGGTAATCTGTTCCCACCCAGTCCCATTTCCTGACAGCCTTCTGTCACCCCAGGTCTAAGCACCAACCCCCATAGCCCAATTGTCTGCAGAGAACTCTGAGGGCTATAGAGCCTACCTTCCAATTCCAGGGAGGTGCCAAGAAGACTGCAGCCCAGCCTCCTGGCCTCTAGGTAGGTGGTCACTGGGGCATGACTGAAGATCAGAGGCACTCTGGGATCAGACTGAACTTGACATGTCATCTAGCTTAATTTCCTCATCACACCTACAGTTACTGAAGTATGACTGGAGCTTGGAGCCACTCTGGGATCAGATGGAGGCTGGCATATAACTGGCTTAGTTTCCTCCTCAGCCCTTCCCTAATCCTTCAAGCACCCCTTCCTCAGTAAGTGACAATAACATAGGCATTTCTTGGAGATGCTCTGTAGAGCCAAACTGAAATATGAACCAACCTCACCACTTTGTAAAGTGTAGACACTGAGAATCAGTGTGGGGGGGGGGGGGGCTTGTATTCAAATCTCCAGAGAGTACCAGAGCTGAGAAACACCTGCCAGCTGGGTGTGTCCTGCAGTTTCAAGGTCCCTAAGTCCTACACCCAGAACCCCAAAAGCCTATACTAACTCCCAGAATTGCTAACAAAAGAACTTCTGCCCCTAATAAATTACTTCTACTCTCTGGGATTCCATTGACAAGAATAGCCCAAGAGCTCAGGTTGGACCAGGGGACACCATGGAGACTATTGACAAGATGCTTGGCTTTCTAGAGTTTTTTTATGATACAGAAAAGCTGAAAGCTTCCATGTGAATGTCTGGATACTAGAAAGCCTAAGAACTCCCCATTATATGCAGATACAGCTGAGTGGAGACAGCCTTCAGAGGGCCACTCGGGTGACCACCTGGGCGGCAATGGAGTTGGCAGTGCCGGAAGCTCACTTCCTAAAGCCCCTCCAGATCCCAGGTGGTCCCAGTTCATTTTAAATCACACATATTTGCCTTCTCTCTCCTTCCAGGAGAGATGTGCAGGGAAAAGGGAGCGGACTCTTCGGAATAGACAGAAAAAAAAAGCTGGTTGAGCCACAGGTTAGCACCTGTAAACCCTTCGTCCACACAGCAGTCAGGGAAGAAACCATCCAGGAGGGTATATGAAGCAGCTGCCCTAGGGTCTTGTGAGGATGCAGGAGCCCCAGAATCTAAGCCCTGCCTGATAGGCTCAGGTTCCCCACTGACAACCTCAAACACAGGGTGTTCTCTGAAGTCAATACTGGGAATCTTTTTCTGTCTCCCTCTGGTATTTTATTTCTTTTTTCTTTTTCTTTGAGACACAGTCTCTTACTAAACCAGATAACCTAGGCAGCAAGCCCCAAATGTTAGTATTTAGGCATCTGTACTGGCCTATCCTTGGGGCTCTGACAGGATATGCCCTCAGGGGCAGCCACTAAGAGCACCACCTGTGCACGTTCACTGTGTTCCCTTTTAAGGGCCCTGTCCACATCCCATCTTTTTCTTTCTCTCCCCCCTCTGTTTCTTTCTGTGTGTGTCTCTATCTCTCTATCTCTGTCTCTCCTCTCTGCTGCCCCTCCTGTCCCTGGAGGCCAGTCTCCCCCCTCCCCTTTCCTCTTTTTAGGATCCTTTTAAATAATAATAATAATAATACCTCTGCTTGAACTCTGTCACATGGCATCTTTCTCTTGTGTGCTACTGTTCTTAAATAACAACACCAAAGAGATACCTGAACTCCGGAGATAGTGCCACTACAGCAAGAATTTGAATTCAAGTACCCATGCTTGCACAACAAGCACTTGACTCACTGAGCAATCTCTCCAGACCCCAAGAGTCTACTCTATGACTACACTTATGGGGCAGTGATGGTGACTCCAGTGGCGGACACCACTGCCACCTAGTGGCCACCAGAGGAACTCACCAAATGCAGTGCTGTACCTGCCTAAGGATACTGACTGGATTTCCCTCCTGTTCTCTGAACATGAGAGAGAGTCAAAATCACAGTAGGACTCATCTCCTGTGGATGAAACTCCAGTCCTCTCTCCCAGTGATTGATGACCCCCTCCTCCCCTTCAGTGTCATATGCTGGTCCTCAACTCCAGTCACTCTGCCTCAACCCTGAAGCTTCCTGGGCTATCATTTCCCGAGTCCTTGAACTCTTGCACCCTCACTCCTTAAGGTAAAGCCTCATCCCCCCCCTTGAGTGACTAGACAAGCATCCCCAAGCCACGCCCTCATCCTCAATTCCCCAGCCTCACCTGCTGAAGGATGCGAGCACGGGAGGCCAGAGCAGCAGTGTGCTCCTCAATGCCCCTCTGAGAAGCCAGAGAGATATCCCGCAGGGGGAAGTCCACAATGGGGTACACCTGGGGAGAAATAAACAGAGTGTCCACACATAGAGCTATAGAAGATGCCAGGGCTGACTCCACTAGACAGACGCAGAGGCCCAGAGAGTGATGGGAAAAAGGCTCCGAGGCCACACCCCAAGCTGAGGGAAACTCTTTCGATATCCTTCACCACCTTATTGGCTCAGGGAGTTCAGGACAAAAAGGAAAGGTGCAGAGAGCCTACATTCCCACCTGCAGCTCATGCTTCCCGGAAGATCTTTTCCCACTGTGGTCCTACTGTGTGCTGAGCATCAGCTAAGTGCTGAGATAAAGCCAGAACTAAAGCAAGTGGGCCAATCATACCAATATTGAAACCCACTGGGTGTCTGGCGGGAACAAAGTGAAGGGTACAGAACCCCAAGCAGCAGGCTGGTAGCCTTATACAGCCCAAACATGAGGACATCGACTCAGTCCCTGGGATATCCCCAAACCTGGGTTGCCAAATGAAATCTTGTCCCATGTAGAGACAAGTCCCGCCTCCCTTACAGCTCCTCCTTTAGTTCATAACATTGGCAGCTCAGTGTCCTTTCCCACATCCACTCAGCATCCCATCCACTTGGATAGGGGGTTGATAACCTCATGGCCCTAACACCAGACTCCACTCTGAGTCACCCAGGGCTTCATCTCTGGCTGGGCAGTTCTGTCCCCACCATACCCATCTGCCCTCAACCCCACAGAGGGCCAGTTGCTCCAGCTGCTCTCCTTGCCACCTGTGTGTGGAGACCCCTCCTTACCATGGCATTCTCATCCCTGAAGAGGTTTTCCCCTCTGGCTTTGGCGAGCAACTCTCCAGGGCAGTGGAGGTGGTGTGGGGACACGAACTCAAACAAGCTGTTCTTCCTGGGAGGAGGGAAGGGAGGGGAAGCAGAGCACCAGCTTCAAATCATTGATCATCAAACCTAAGCTGTGTTTGGGGCCGGAGGCAATTGCTGGAGTGAGTGCGTAGCCTCTCTAAGCTCTGGTCTAGGAGGAGCCAGTCCCCATATACATTTGCTTGCCTAGCATTTATCCTGGCCAGGACAGGACAAAGGCTTCCTGATAGGAACACGTCCACAGTTTTATCCCAGACATCAGTGTTCAGGGGCCCAGTGCTTGCTGCCCTCGAAGGTGATGATGACAGCATGTAAACTCAAAGCTAGAGCAAGCATGATGGCTCAGGGGTGAAGGTGCTTGCTGCCATGCCTGACAAACTGAGTACAATATCTGGATAGTGTATGGCGGAAAGTGAACCAACACCTGCAGGTTGTCCTCTGACCTCTACACGAGGGCCACGGTGCTCCAATGCCTGCACATGTACACATGTACTGTCACATTTGAGCATACTCACCACTCACACAAAGCAAATCATCATCATCTTGAAAAATGAGAATACGAACTCAGAGCCAAAGCCAGTCTGCATCCTCTACCCCCACAGCTGCTCCCTCCTGGACCAGGTGGAGGCCCCACAAGGAAGAGGTTCGCTGTTCCAGGAGCATCCCCCCCCCCCGCCTCCTCCAGGTCTGCCCCCAGGAGCCACTTACCACATGATGACCAGCTGGACAAAGTGCTCCAGCTTCCTTTCCCCCTTGCAGGTGGCACATGTCTTGTTCCCCCTCCCAGAGCACGTACTGCATCTGTGCCACAGTGAATAAGACTCAGTATTCTTGTGACCCTTGCCCCTAACCCTCTTCAAAAGATGACTCCCTTACTGTGGTGGCATATACCTGCCCACTGCCACCCGTCCTCCTCTGACACCTTGGCTCTAGTATCCCCTCAGGAGCCTAGATTCCCCATGCCCAGCTCACTCGATTCTTTGGCTTTTTGTTCCCACCCTCTGTGGCCAGCTGTGGTAGCCTGGCTGGCTACCTCATTCCATCTCTCAGTAACAATAAACCAGCACAAACATGGACCCAAGTCAATGCAATGAGAACACTATAGGACGTTCCTTGAACTCTTCAGAAGAGTGTCCTTTCCCACCACGCTGCTTAATTTTGTCCCCTCACCACTCCACCTTGGTGACACTGTTTAAGCATCTGGGTCCAGTGGGACCTGATGCCATAACAGAAATATCTTTTTAGACTGTACAGTTGTTGGAGCTATAAACATACATTTTCACCACAACCAATTTGAACTGGGTCGTTTTGCTTGAAAAATGAAATACACTAATGTCCTTCACTAGCATGAAAAAAGGTTTCATAAAGCTTGGCCAGCGAGGCTCGGCCATTAACCAATCTAATTTTGAACATTTTCACTCCTTGTAGTTTTCTGTTTCCCTTTAAACACTTATAAATAGTGAGAAGGCATGAGTGACAAGATGTCACTGCCCACTGTATGCAAAGCCCCAAGAGCAGAGATGGAATGTTCTGGGTTGTTTAGTAAGTCAACCAACCTGGTAAGCAGTTCCTCCAACTAGGCCCTGCTCTGAGCTGTATACAGAAGGCTTTGCCCAAAGCCTGTGCTCAGAGTTTAGGGTTGCCCTTTCAGCTGGTTTTTCACGGAGCTCCTCCCCATTCCTCACACCTGCCCCCACATACTTTTGATGAGTTTCTAACATGATGCGCCTTGAGGCGAGCTCACCCACATACAAAGTACAAGAGCATCCGATATGCACAGACTCTGGTGGTATAGCGGTGATAGTCCTGGACTCATGCCCCTTTTGGCTGCACAGTGACCAGGAAAAAAAAAAAAAAAAACAAGAATGGAGAGCCTTCCCCGACCCACTGCACACCCTCTCCTACCTGCGCCTGCCAGAGCCGGAACACATGTGGCATCTCCGGGGCTGCCTGGCCTTTCGCTTGGTGCCGCTGCATGATGAACACCTCACCTGTGGACACGCCCAGACTCAGCAGCTCTCTCCCAGAAGCAGTGCCCATGACCCTGACCCAGGTCTCTTCCTCCCCTGGGTTTGTGGTTTGTGGTTTGCGGCTTGTGGCTTGAGGATTGCTGGCTTTGTGCCCTGCTGGGCACAGGGCTCCAAGACTTCATGTCCACAGATCCAGGCTTCTCCTTTCTGATTTTACCCCACCCCAAAGCACCAAGACCGCCTCCAACCAAGTGTCTGGAAGGAGCCAGGAGCATAGTGGCTGAAGATCAGGGTGAGGGCATGTACCCAGGGGTGGACTCCTGACATTCGAAGCAAGCTCAGGGAGAAGGGAGAGGAGGAAGGGAGCCAGGGAGGAGGGGAGAACAGAAGAACAGGGAGGTGCGGCAGGGGAGCTGCAGACTCCGCAGAAGGCAAATGGCCGGAAGAGGCATGGAGAGGAAAGAAAACCAAGTATAGCCCACTGGGCCCCACAGTGAGCAGGAGAGAGGTGAGTGCCTGCCAGGCCCCTGGATGGAGGGAGAGGCATGGCAGGTCAGCAAGTGATCACAAGTGAGCAAACTCAAACTGGGAGCCCTGGCTTGAACTTCTAGACTCCAGAGCCAATCGATTCTGTCCTATGCAAACCCAGGATGTCTTGGTGTAGTGCAGAAGCCTGGACAGATAATCCAAGCCTCTGCTACCCCACCTCCCAAGCATTCTGAACTCTGCCTCTCTGTGTCCATTCCCCTGGGCTCATGGCCATCCTCCACCAAGGGGTCTGTCATGAGTGACTGGCCTGGCAGCCAAACAACTACCAACCACCTTGGGGCATTCAGCTGTACCCTCTTGCAAAAGACCATCCAAGCTGGGATTGTTGACAAGACTCACACCTTAATGTCCAGCTACTCTCTACCACCTGTTACATGCAACTCTGCCTCAAGGAGGTGCTAGAGTATAAAGATCTGGGAAGAGTAGGGAGGGGGAACTGCATCTATGTAAGACAGTTGCCACCTGCTGGGTAACACATTTCAGGTTCAGCATGCTAGGGAGGAGCATCCACACCCCTGTAAGTAACCGCTAGGATCCCAATACACTCATTGGTTCTCCAGAATGAACTTTGGTGGAACTGTGCCTGGGTCTGTGTTTGGGACTTTAGGAAAAGGGACAGACATTGTTTTCATCTTTCCTTGGGAAGGCATTTCATCATAGTCCTAGGATCCATCCTCAAGGCCTGTGAGGAGGAAGGTGAGAAACTCCTAAACTGAACCCTCAAAGCATGAGGGTCCACTGCAGGCATCCATCCTGAATGTCCCAATCACAGATAGGAAACTGGAGACTTAGAAAGAGAAGGTGGCCCACTGTTGGTGCAGGAAACCTCTAGGTCCTTAACTACCCTGCCATCCCTATGCCCATCCCAACATGTACACAGGATCATTTACTTGTGTGGTCCACCCATGACTCACCATGCCAGCCCCATGACAGCCACTGCACTTGTAGCGGCCACGCCCGTGGCATTTGTGACATTCCTGAAAGGGAAGAGTTCTCTTGGGTGGGAGGTGCCTAGGCAGGTTTAGACAGCATGCTCTCACAGAAAGTGTACACAATGGGCCTGGAAAACTCAAAAGGCTTGTGCATTCTGCTTGGGAGAGAGGAGGGAAAGAAATTCTGGAAGGTTTCATTCTCCCAACCCTAGAATACCATAGGGAAATATAAGAGGGAAAAGGCCTTCCAAGTAGCTGGAGATACAAGGGGGCCTTGAATGGACCTCAAGGCCTCATATTAGAATGTCCCCACAGTCCAGCTCAGGCTTTCCCACATGCTAAGATGGGGATTCTGCAGTCCTCAGCTAGCTCACACTCTAGCCTCCTGTCAGACTAAACCACAAAGGTTGAGGGCAGCTACATTAGCAGCCCATTCATGGGGGCCTTGAGAACACGCAAAAAGAACAATGTTTTTGTGAAAGGCAAGAAGCTAGATGCTAGACTCTGTCATTGAATCAAAATAGTTTTTGTGTCATCCAGAGAAAATGCTTTGTGGTCTCTTCAGTTACATCTGGTAACTACAAGGACTCACAAGTGAAACTATATTCTTAAATCAAGTGTTAATGAGAAAGCAGACACTTGTCAGATAAGAACAGAATGAGGGTGTTAATCAACCACCAGGTTTCCCACAGTTCATGCTAAGACAGACTTCTATACAACACAGACATCAAACCTATTCTCCTACCACAGTCAAGGAAAAACTCAACGGAGGGGGAGTGGGTGTGGATGTTGGGGTTGTATGCTTGTGTTTGCATAGCTCACATGGAGGACAGAAGTCTTTGTTAAGTGCCTCCCTTGGTCACTCTCCACCTTATTCTCTTTGAACCTGCAGCTCACCAATCTGGTTAGGTCGGATGGCCAGCGAGACCCAGATATCCTCCTGTCTCTGTCTCCCCAGTGATGGGATTACAGGTGCAAGCCCCCACACCCAGCTAGGGATAAAAACTCAAGCCCTATGCAGTTTACCCACTGTGTTTCAGATTTTAGTTCACGACAATTTCATTGAGTCCTCCACTCATCTTACTCTCGAGCAAAAACCAAGCAAGGCAGCATGCATGCACACAGCTGCCCTAGGATCGTTGTCACTGGCTATTTCCAGCTGGTGATGGTCCTCTTCCTGAGTGAATGGTGCCTCCCTAAGATGCATGCTGTTCTTAAGTTGGGTTTTATTTTTACCTCAGGCATGACCCACTAGGCTGGGCTTGGGAGAAAGTCTGGTGAAGCATGGAGAACGTGAGAAACAGACTTAGAGAGCAATACAAATGATCCAATTAGCCATTACCTTGACCAGAGAGGAGTGGGGCACTTGGAACCTTCTGGTGTCTTCCTGAAACATCGGAGGCACTTGGACTTTCATATCCCAGAGTCTGGGGGAGGCACCTCTCTGAGGTCCATCCACCAAGTGGTCTGACACAGAAGGGATGGATCATCGTGAGGACAGTAGAAGGCATCAGGCATAGACTACAATGTATCCATCAAACAGCATGTCACCCTCCTTGGTGCACTTCATGAGCTGGGGCTACAGAGAAGTGAGTACAGGGCTCTCTTGCCCTCCAATCACTTTGGACCTGGGTTTGAATCCTGGCTCCTCTACTTCCCAGCTGTGTGACTCTAGGAAAGCAATTTAACCTCTCTGGAATTTAATCATCTCATCTCTAGCATGGGGATAAATAATGGACACCTAGCATGTAGCTGCAGTGACAATTAAAATGAAGAATGTACAGATGTCCAGCTCAGGACGGGTACACTGAAGGATCAATGAGCAGGAACCATCACCACCATATGCTCATCCTCCTCTTCCAGACAGCATTCTCTCTCACACACACTGAGAGTAAGCATAGAGGGCCTGGAAAACTCAAAAGGCTCATGCATTCTGCTTGCGGGGAAAAAGAGAAAAGGAAATCCTGGGAGGCTTCATAAAGAAGGTGACACCAGGCTGGGATTTGGACTAAAGATGGACAGCAGAGAACAAAAGAGAAGGCTCTAGAACACTGCAGAGAAGGTGGGATGGCACAGTAGGTGGGGAATCTGAGGGTCTAGAAATGTAGGGGTGTTGGGTGAATGTGCAAGCACAATGCTGTCTTTGTAACCAAAGTCAAATGCTAGGCAGGGTCACCTCCATGGTCAGCAGTGGGGAGTCTCTGAGGTGAAAGTCACCCCACTATTTTATAGTAAGTGAAGAAACTAAGCCCCCACAAAGATAAGCATCAGATTCAGCATTTACAGCCCAACCTTGCCCCTTCCAAGCAAACTGACTCCAGACAGTTCACTCACTGGTGACTGGCTGAAATGTCCACTCGCTGACTCTGGATTCGCTGAAGGTCTCCAGCCGATACTGCAGATGAGAACACCAGCACATCACAAGCAGTGCCGTTCCTGATGATAATGCTATCTGCAAAAGGGTGGTGCTTCCCACCCCCGCATGGGTTGCTGGGAATAACAGTGTGACTACCCCTGCTAAGACCCCACCCAGTGCAATCCCAACTCCACAGGGGAACCATCTACAGAACACATCCTGTACAATGCAGCGCTTGCCCGTGGTGCATGGAAGCCCCCGGTTCCCTGATCTAAAAACACCCTGACTCATGACAAGGCCCTTCTCCTTAATCCTTATGCACAGAGGTGAGAAGGGACCTCAGCTGAGTCTCTCTCTCTCTCTCTCTCTCTCTCTCTCTCTCTCTCTCTCTCTCCTCTCTCCCTCCCTCTTTCTCTTTCTGTGTGTGTGCATGTGGAGGTCAGAGGACAGCTCTACCTGTTGTTCCTCAGGCACTATCTACCTTGTTTTTTTTTGTTTGTTTGTTTTGTTTTTTTTGTTTGTTTGTTTTGTTTTGTTTTTGATGCAGGGTCTCTCTCTGGCCTTGAACTAGCCAACCATTGAAATGACCAGTCAGCAAGCCCCAAGGATCCTCCTTGAAATGCCTCCAGGGTGCACAGTTACAAGACTAAACTCATCCTCATGCATGTGTAATACACATCCTGTCACCTTCTCCCTCTCCATCCCTCCCTCCCTCCCCACTTCTCATGTGAGAGAAAATGGTGGCTTACAGAGGCCAGCTGCGTTGCCCAGGTCACACAACTGCAAGTTGCCCTCTTCTTCCTCCACACCTAGAAACTATCTACTCTCATGGGTTGACGTCCACTTGATTGTGTCTTGTTGAAGAAAAAGTCCAACACTAGTAAGTGTGACCTGAGATTCTGTCCCAAAGCCCTGTCGATTCAGGAGACTGAAGCACCTTCTACGGTCTGAGTGTCATAGATCAGAGTTCCCCAATTCTAAGGCACAGGCATGGCTTGGGAGACACCTGACCCAGGGTCAGGGGAATAGAAGGGTCCTTCCTCAGCCTGTGACTCATGAAAGGGTGCAAAGAGGCCTAGGTTTCTGCTCAACAGACTTAACTTTGAACACTTGATCTACCACATGTAACCGTGGGTGTTTGGTCAAGGATCTCAGCCCCTCCTGACCCCCAGTATTGGCTCCTGACACTGTGAACAATACTGCGTTGTGATGGATGGGGTGGGCAGTTATGACATGGTGTCATCTGCTTTCCATGATGCCTAATGCAGTGAGGTTGTCAATCATAACGAGATTATTAGATACAGAATAGGGAGGCTGTGGAAGAGATGGCTTCCAGGACTAATGCTCCCATGGCCCAGCGTCCCCAGGCCCCAGGTACAGTCTCCATACCCTGCAGAGGGTTTGCTGCCTCAGCTCCTGGATGATGAGGTTGCCAGCAGCTACACTGCTGTAGCAGCACTGGGAGTTGACAAAGCTGAGCAGGGCCTCCCGGGCCACCTCCTCGGTCACCACAGGGACTCTGCTGGGAAGAAGGCAAAGGAACCGAGGTCTGGGAGGGGCCTTAGTGTGTAGGGGACACTGAGGCCCAAAGAGGAAAGGATCCAAGGCCTGACTGCTGAAGAGTCAGTGCAGGAGACATCTAGCCAAGGGACTGCATGACAGGATGCCCAGGGTAGGTAGGGCATTCTAGAAGGCTTGAAACCAAGTATGGAGCTAAGGAAAGGGGCTAAATTGTGAACTTAAAATCTCCTGAGGAAAACATCGTAAGGGAGGAAGATGATAAGTGAGTGCTGACAATTTCCATGGTCAGAGGTGAGTTAGGGCTGACAGTTTCCATGGTCACTAGGCTCCATCCTCCTGAGCTCAGGGTGAGGCAGAGCACCATAGTGGGAGCATGTGGGTCTGCGGAGACTGCTGTCCCAGAGGACAGGAAGCAGAGAGGAGCACAGGAAGGAGCCAGGGATCTACTTCTGCCAACAAGACCCACCCTCAACTTTTCACCTCCTGCCAACAGTCCATTCAGCTGTGGCTAGGCAGGGTGAATCCAATGACAAAGTTGGTGCCTTCGGGATCTATCACTACTCAAAACCCTTCAATGAGGGGGTATTGGGGAGATCAAGTCTCTGGCACAGGAGTCTCCAGGCTATCTCATCTCCAAATTACAGCACAAGAATGGCAATGCTTCTACAGATGGTGGGGAGCAAAGATGATGCCACTTTGTCATAAGGAGGCAGAAACAGACTAGATGAGGTCTCCTCCCTGGGGGAACTGGATCTTGGCCAGAAGAACTGTGAGCATGCAAGGTAACTAGCTGAGGGCTGAACCAGCGACCACAGTCTGAGTGTGATGGAGTAGGTCCCCACCAGCCTCTCTCTGGAAGAGCTTTCTCCCTGAGATCCAAGTGCGTCCTTGCTGATGCCTTTCCCCAAAACACCTCAGAAAAGAGCCTTTTGTGCTCTGCCTCCCTCCTCCCCATGTGCACAGTCTCCCCAATGCCCAGAAGGCCATACACTCCCTATTCCTGAATCCTCCCTATTCCCAAATCCCGCTGCTCCCAGCATGGCCAGGCCTAGTATGTTGTCCCAGGTAGGCAACAGAACCATCCAGCCATGCCACATGAGTTCATGCTGGGACCCGGAAGCAGACACAGAACAGAAGTGGATGCACAGAGAGTGACAAGGACCCCCAAGAGACTCCTCTAGGCAGGCCACATGCTCAGCCACAAAGGGTGTTTAGGAAAAGACCTCAGCATATCTCTTTTGCACAGAGATGGCTGGAACCCAGAATTCTGTGACAAGTCTTCTCAAAACAAAGAGGGTGTATATGCTTCCCAGATAGAGATTTGGGGGTGAAGGACTTAAGCAACAGAGAACCAGAGTCAATGTTTGAGCAGTATGAGCTAGACAGGCATGTGTCTACTGAGCTCTGCAGTGGCAGGGCAAAGGCTGCCATGGACAATACACACACAAATCACAGGACTTAACAGAAACAGCCTAGGGGCTGTGTTTGGCCCAGAATCCAGAATTTCCAAAGCCCTGACACAATGTGTGGTTTCCACCACTGGATAGCATGATATGCAGAAGATTTCCAGGCCACATCCCCCAGGGATGGAGAGAGTATCCCCAGAAGGTTTTTCATTGGCCAAGGCAGTGTCAGAGCTGAGTACTCCCAAAGAGATCCCATGGGTAACATGCACATGTGGAAATGCACTGAAATTTACCTGTGCTCCAGGACTGAGGACCAAGATGCAGGCTCCTGGGGCCTTCCCAGGGCCTCCAAGGATGGAAAGAAGACACGCCTTCCTAGAGGAGAGGAAGGAAAGACATCATCCAGGTTCAGAAGAACAGGGGTTGGTGCAGTGAAAGAAAGGCTGGCCTGGTGCAAGTTCTAGGCCAGTCTGGGCTACAGAGTGAGTTCAAGGCCAGTCTATATTATTAAAGAGAAAGGAGGAGGAGGAAGAAGAGGAGAAGGAGAGAGAAAAAGGGGAAGGGGGAAGAAAAATAAAGAGGGCTGAGATTATAGCCCAGTGGTAGAGGACTTGCCTTGCCTAACTGTGGTGATATGTTGTTTAAGATCTAATAAAGCTTGCCTGGAGATCAGAGTGCAAAGCTAGCCATAGCCGTAGAAGCTGGGCAGTGATGGCACTGCCTTTAATTCCAGAGCTCAGAAGACAGAAGCAGATGGATCTCTGTGAGTTCAAGACCACCCAGGGCTACATGAGAGTGAATCAGTCTAAAACAGAAACAGAGTTTACACCTTTAATCCCAGCACTAGAGAGAATATAAAGAGTTCAGTGTAGTCTCAGGAGCATTCTGGGATTTGGTGTGGAGCAGTGAAGTCTAGAGATGCAATCTGAGGTTCAATGGATCACCCCTTTGGTCTGAACATTGGTAGAGGTGAAAGCTCTCTGGTGGCTGGCTGCTTTGCTTCTCTGGTCTTCAGCTTGAACCCCAGTATCTGTGTCTAGGTTTTTATTATTCATGCTACACCTAACATCCGCCAGACCCAACAATTAATCCAAAGGCCAAACTCGCATTTTAAAATTATTTACTTAATGCAGCTCCAGCAAACAGAATAGAAATTTTAAGGCCAACATCATTTGGGTAGCAGAATGTTCAGGGCCACCAAACACTGTTCACTCTCCATCCCATCCCATCTCCCACTTCTCAAGACCCCAGGAGAAAAGGGTCAGCACTGACCTATCCACCTCCCCCCAACCTACAAGAACCCCAGGAAGAAATTTTGGGAACAATGGCCACTCAGACTCACCACGTCCTTGAAGAAGCCAGTCATAGCTTGGCAGTCCCTCCAGGAGCTCATCAGGGGGCATCACAGGACTTTCGGCCTCAAAACTGAGATCAGCCACACCTGCCATAAAGACACAAAAGGAGCAGTGCCAAACTTTGCAGCAGCCAAGGAGATGGGGTGGAATCAGCAGTGACTTCGGGCGAAGCTGAAAAGTGAGGGTGGGTACACACGGAACACCTCATGCTTTGGGGAAGGGCTGAGGATGTGGCTTAGTGGTGGAGAGCTTCCCGAGCACACACAGGTCTGATCCCTACTGTAGGACAAATGTCAGAGAACCCTCTAGATTTTCCCTTGCATCAAAATTAAATTATATGGCCCATCCCTTCTAGGTTAATATGAGAGGTGAACGGAATGCAGCCAGGCAGATGTGGGGGGGGCAGGGCTGAGGGTTGCTGAGGATTGCAAAGTGTGGCTGGGGACAGTGGAGGGAGAAAGGAAACATCATGAGGACTGGCATTCCCTCCCTGCCACCCTCAAGTTAGGAACGCCCTTCCCTAACAGTGGACACACTACCTGTACCTCTAAGGCTTTTCTTTTTCAAGGCAGGAGACATAGAGGAGTAAGTTTGTAGCTAGAGGGAGCACCCCTATTAGTGGAAAGAGGGGTGGCTGTGATACAAAATGACAGAATCCCAAGGACTTCCAATGGTTTTGCTTTGAATAAATTTGCTGATTTAAAATGCTTAGCTATCAGGGCCAGCCACTGCCTTCTGTAAAGAGGTAGGTGAGAGGAATTTGGACTCTGTAGATTTAACAATCCCAGTCTCTCTTACTGAGTGCCCCTGCTGGCATGAAAGCAGCCACACCCTGTTGAGTAAGTGTGACTTTGTTCCACTCCAGTGTTCTGGAGGGAATGAAGTGGGTGTCAGGATTGGCTCCTAAGCTGTATCTTGCTACCTGTCTTGGCCCCTCACATGCCAGTTCATAGAAATGCTCACCTGAAGGGAAGGACTGGGGAGCCAGGAAGGTAGAGGCTGGAATGGGGGTCTTTCTGAGCCAGGGTCCACAGGTATCCATCCACTCTAGTTCCCAAGAGCTCAGTAGAGATCAAGGTCAGGGCTGAGCCTATCCAAGTTCCAGAGTCAGAGGGATCAAGGGTCATCATGACTGTGTGTAGCTATGGGTCTGAGATCTCCATCATACCATGCCCTCCAAGATGTCACACAGATCTGTGTAACTTTTCCCCCACCCCATCAAAATAGAGCAAGCCATATTGGTGCCCACATAATGGGGCTGTGTGTGACAGCCTCCAGCCCTGAACATGGCATATAAAAACCACTCTGTCCCTGTGCTGAACTTGATGTGTGTTCCTTTAAACTAGAAAAACAACAATGAAAAGGTCAAGTGTGGAAAGAAAGGCCACTTCTGTCTCCTGGGATAGCCTGGTTGTCAGGCAGCTTTGGGTCAGCTAGGGCACCAAACTCTAGGGAAGAGAAAAAAAAAAGGGGCCATGTGACTGTGGTAGTCTCCTAAAGACCAAATAAAGGGGACAGGAGGATGGTAAGAATGGAAGGCAGGTGCCCTGAGCCCCATCCATCACCCAGGAGCCACCCTGACCTCTGGGGCAACCCCAGTACCTCAGTGCTAAATTTACATTGCCATTCAACCCAAACAAGAAAGCACTCCAGGCTGACCCCCAGAGGGGCACGTTTCCTGTGCCACCGGAGGAGCACAAAAGGACCATGAGGTCGCCTGCATTGTGCCTCACTGTCCCTAGGCCACCTGACCACATAGGCATAGCAGAAAGAAGAGCTCATAGCTCATGCCCTGCCTCCATGTCCCTCAGGGCCTCTGCACCTGTCTCCAAGTCCCCAAGTAATCTGCTGCCAAGATTTGCCTTGCAAAGACAGATGGAGAGGTGGGGTCTCTGCTTGCCAGCCACAAACTAATTTTCTTTCACATGACAAGAATTGTTCTTGTGGAGGGAAACACAGTTTACAGAGAAGCCCTCTATCTTTTACCTTTCCCATTTCCTCTGGCTCAGAACCTTCTCTGTCTTAACAGGATCCTTGTGTGATCCTCTATAGAGCTCCAGGATCTCAATGCAATCAGCCCAGCCCATCATATTCCACATCTCATCCCTTTCAATAAATGAGTGCTCCTCTGGGATTGTGGGAGAAACAGCAGGCATTCGGTAGGCAAATGTGCATGTTAGGTGTGCAAAGCACCCCATATGTGCATGAGTGTGTGTGTGACTAGAACTTTACTTATGCATATACAAGAGACACTAAGACCTCTCTACATCCAGATCTCCCATCACACTCCTGCCTTTGGACTCCACGGCTCTCTGCTCCAGTCCATATAGCCTTGGAAAATGCAATTCAGAGAGTTTGAGTGAGCTAAGCTGAGTTGCCCAGCAATCCGGAGACAGAGTTTGGTTCTGAATCCAGATCTGAGTTGTTAGCCTAACCAGTGAGAGGGATGAGCTATCTGTCAATTCAAAGTCTGCTAAGGAGCCACAACTTAAGGGAAAAAGATGGCACTGGGTATGCAAAGACCTTCAGCCCTAGGGTCCATGAAGATGTGTTTGGTTCACAGACCTCTCTAGGACTCCCATAAAAGCAGCAAGCACCCTCATTGCACACCTAGAAAACAAGTCAATGGCATTGCACCCACACCCTCCTGGCTCTCACATTCATACCTCCTGACCCAATTTCCTTTTACACATGGAAAAATGGAGGCTTAGAGATGGTAAATGTCTTGGCCCAAGACCACAGAGTCAATCCAAACCAGTACCAGGACTTGAACTATATCCACCAGTTCTCCATCTGCTGTTGCCCCAGTCACCACTGCCTTGCCTACTCCAACTCAGGAAGAAACTTTCCTTTATGTAAACATAGTCCATTTCCTCTGAAATATGTTTACTTCCTTGGGTTTTAAGAAGCCCTTCGATCTCATTGTATTTCTGTCCTGCTAATGACAGACTGGGGTCAGCAGGTCTGTGACAAGCAAACTGGGCAGGGGGAGTGGTTAAGATTTTGGCAGTGTCTCTGTGCACTAGCTGTATCTAAGAATGAGACAGAAGAATTCTGAGGTGCAGGCTTCTATTTGACTGCATAAGGCAGGGGGAATCATTGTCACCAGAAGAAAGAAAGAAAAAAATTGACACACATGGACAGGGCACAGTAGGAAGAGAGATGCCCCTGAGGTAGCTGTGGTACCCTACCCATTGCCCCAGAGCACATAATAGAGAAGCTGTTGTTTGCCACCAGCTGTCTTTCCCAAGCACAGAAAAAAGGAAGGAAGAGATGATCAGGACAGAGATGCTAATAGAAGGCAGGTGGTGTGGAGCCAGATCTCTCTCGGTGCTGGCTGTAGAGGGGTCCAGTTCCACCCCAGGCTCTACTCACTGTCATCCTCACTCGGGTCCTTGTCCATGGTCAGCCAAGTGGGCATCTGAGTTCCTGAGGACTGAGGTTCCCATCTGAGGGACTACCCTCAGCCCCTCCCAGCCCATTGTTACCATTCTACACATAACAGAGGCAAAGCCACGGTGTGTATCCCTCACAGCAGAGCCCCGCCCTATGTCCCAGGTCCTTGAGTGTCCCACAAGAGTCTTTCACTTGCCAAGCTAGAGGCCTGGGTCCCGCTGCATTCTGTGTAAGGTACTCACATCCTGCCATTGTCTCCAGCCACGATTCAAACCCTGCTCTGTCTGACACAAGTGCCAGACCACAATGCTACCCCATGCACCAGTCAGGGCAGGCTTCCAAGTCCTGAGAGGGCACAGGGAACTTGTTAGCAACCAGTTAGACTACCCCTCATGGAAGAGACTACCTAGGTCTCAGACAGGCTGGGATCCCCAAAGTCTGGGCAGCAGGCACTGTGTCCTTGAATGCTTGGAGAAGGAGAGCACAGAGCACACCACAGCCAAAGTCAAGTCCCTGGTAGCAGGTGGCTCATCCTACTACCACTCTCCTGGAGAGCTGCTTGTGGAAGTCTGAGGGCCTGGAAGCCAGGACATTGAGCATTATGAGGCAAAGTCTACCCCTGCCTGAGTCCTAGGTGTCTCTGAATTGTGTACATGTGTTTGTGGGTGGGCGGGTGTATGTGTGTGCATATGTGTATGTATGCTTACATGTGGTGAAAGCAAAGAGCCATTTCTGGTGTATAGCCTCAGACACTGTCCACCTTTTGCTTGAGATAGTCTATCATCCACTTAGAACATCACCATGCAGGCTAGGCTGGCCAGTCAGGGATGCTCCCTCTGCTTCTCATCTCACCATCACTAGAGTTATAAGCCCATACCACCACATCTGGGGATCAGACTCTGGACTTCATGCTTAGACAGCAAGAGCTTTCCTGACTGAGCCATCTCTCCAGTGCCCTCTGTAGACTTGGAAAGGTCTTTACAAGCCTTTGTCAGGGAGGCAGAAAGCTCTTCATCCCTGGAAGGCCATTCCTCCTCCAGATGAGTCTAAATATTGGTGACGGAAGTTTGTCTCCCACCAATAAATGTAGAAGGCTTGCAAGTTGGTCCAATTCTCCCCTGTGACCTTGCCAGGGCTTCCTCGGTTGTTGGGAGGGTACCTAACCAAGGTCATGCTGCTCTAGTTGGTTGGACCTGACTTGCTTAGCCTACCAGGACTCAAGGGGATGTATCATGACACTCCTTAACCAAGACAGGGTTGTGGTCTCTCTGAAAAGCCTGCCTTGGATGACCACGGTGCATAAGAGGCAGCTACTTCCATGTCATGTGAGCTGCCTTCGCCCTCTCTGCTACCTTCCCCCCTCCTTCCTCACTGCCACTCTCAAGAGGATGCCATGGATCCTCAGCAGAAATGTCACACAAGCTTGTCTTAAAAAACAGACAATTCTCCCAGCAGTGGTGGTGCATGCCTTTACTCCCAGAACTTGGGAGACAGAAGCAGGAGGATCTCTGAGTTCAAGGCTATCCTGATCTGTAGAGTTAGTTCCAGGACGACAAGGGCTATACAGAGAAATCGTCTTAGAAAACAAAAAAACAAACAAAAATACAGACAACTCAGCCCTCACAGACGGGTTTTTATTATGGGTAGTAGTGCTGACATTCCTCATTGTGAGAGTTATAGGTGCTTTATCTCTGCAGACAGAGGAGTAAGAATGGCTCCCTGAGAAAGAAGCACAGTCTTTGGGTATTTGTGTGCACTGAGCAGGGTTCCAAGCCAGGGGAATGGCATCAGTGGTTACAAAATGACCGTGGATGTGTGTGCTTATAACTCTATGTAAGTATGTGAGCATGTGTGAATTTAAACCAGGGCTTCCTCTGAGGCTGGGAGAGTACCTAACCAAGGTCATGCTGCAGATCGACAGATAGGTATACAGATGACAGACAGATCAATAACAGCACAGCAGCAGCTTAGTTATAGTCTCCCACAACTTTATCTGGGGTGTTTCATTGGGCAAGCCACGCTTGCCTAAACTCCTTTGGCATTTGAAAGAAGAAGCCATAGGGAGTGATTTCAGCAGCAAGCAGAAAGGAACAGAATATTAAATAGAGCTGAGTATTAGGAGTGACTAAAATCTGCTGGCAACCACAGCCTCTCGGGAACCAGGAAGTACTGGACAGCCAGAGTGATGGTCCGTTGCCTTAACAGTCTCCACCCCTGACAAATTTAAGAATTCATAATAGCTTTTAAAATACATGGGCAAACGAGGGTGTAGCTGAGTGGTAAAGCTCTTGCCTAGCATGCACAGAGGGAAAAGCTTCTAGAACTTTCTAATCTTGCTTAGGCATTAACAGAGGATACTGTGTGTAATAGCATGTCAGAGTGAGTTGGGATCGATCACATCCATCACAATGTTGCTTCTATGCTGTGAGCAAAAGAAAATACTGCCCATTCAAAAACTCAGACCAGTGTGAGATTAAGGCTGTACCATCTCCTGCCAGTATCTCAGGATGGGCAGGATGGGGAAGATCGATTCCAGCATGATACCAGGCAATCTGCACTCTTTCCATATCTCTGAGGTTTAAGGCAGCTCCTTAAAGCTCCCACACATGACCCAGGCCCTGCCACTCTCCAGTAGCACATTCTCTAAGTACCCAGGCCCTACTGAGTTCTCCCTGACATCTCACCTGAAAAACAAGCCTCAAAAGCTACCTCCTCCCACAGGCTGGCATCTGAGCACCTTGTTCCTAGAAATCGAATCCATGCAGTGTCCCCTGCTCAAGCTGTGGATCTCAGGGGATGTCATGGTGGTAGGGAGCATTAGGATCAGCCTAGAAACCATCTCATGTGGCTGTCTTTGAATATGATGGGAAGGGAGGTGCCTAGAAGCGCAAGGAAGGGAGGAGCAGGAGAGGCCATCTAAAGGTGTCTTTTTGTATTTTAAAGGCTGTCCTGAGATAGAGACAGCAGAGTGAATCTTGGGACATGCTGGTGGAAGGTAATCTGAAGGCATCATTGACTCCTCCCCCCCCCCCCAAGCATTTGGGTGATGGCATAGCAGCTGTCTAACACAGTACCGCTAACCCAGTAGCAGAACACTAGAGCTTGTGGCTGCAGAGTCAGTTAGACAGTGCTCAGAGTCCAACTGTGAGCACTGGTGTGGGAACAGCACCTGAAGGACAGAGTGTACATGTTCAGCTTTACTTTCTGCCTGAGCTGCCTAGCCAGTCCCCTCCACCATTGCCATCACTGCCCACTTCCTCCCTGAAACTAAAACCTCTCCAGGTAGTCGACAAGCACTGGTTTTCTCCATTCAAATGGCAGCCTCTAGTTCTGCCTGGAATCCCCACTTACTCCACTTCCTTGGGGTGGTCCCGGGCTCTTATGTCTCCGTAGGTGAACAGGTGTCACATGTGTGAATTAAGGCTCCTTCTTGGGAGCCCTCATCAGGCCCATATGAGGCAGAACGCTGAGTGTTGATAGTTTACAAGCCCCCAGGTGACTCCAGCTTGGGCACTCTATGCTAAAATCACTAGATGCAGACAGACAGACTGGTATAATACACTCACTTGTCTTTCACTCTTTAAAAGAGTCACTTCAGTATATAAGCAATAAACTGCTCCAGAAACTCAGATAGGAGGATCACTACAAGTTCAAGGATAGCCTGGTCTACAGATTCAGTTCTATACTAGTCAGATCTACAAAGCAAAGACCTTGTCTCAAAACAAATAAAATGAGTCAGTGGAATCAAGGGCTTTTTTTCCTGAGGCTAGCTCACTCTTAAGAGTAAGGCTAGCTCACTCCTCTAAGTAGGAGGCTAGCTTACTCTAAGTGAGAGGCTAGCTCACTCTAAGTGGGACTTACTTACACTCAGATAAAAACACACAGGAAGCTAGAAGCTTAATGAGATCCCCTGCTTCCAGCCCCAGGGACCATCCTCACTTCCCTCCCCCAAGGCACAGATCCAACAAGGCAATCATCTTTACAGCATGGCTGAGAATCGGTCATTTTGCAATCATGGATCATCTCCACCACTGCTGTGTCAGCCAGGGACAGGTGGAATTTGAGCAGTTCCAAGACTTTCAAACAAAGACACATCATTTTCTGCCTCACCTCTTCTGACCTCATCATGGCCTCCGTGACTACCTGAGGATTTACCTAGAATTTCCATTATTCAGGGTTCAGTTGTTGACTCCTGTGTGGACAGGGGAAGGGCTCAATTCTTGTTAACAGTAAACTGTGTATAGGAAGATGGTGGCTGTGGTTACATAAATGTGTTTCTTTTTTAAAAAAAAGTCATTAAAAACACATGTAACATGCCCCATTTTTCCATTTTTATGGGTACATTCTAGTATCAAACTGATATTCTGGGGGCTAGGGAGATGGCTTGAAGGGCAAAGTGTGTGCTGTGCAAGTCTGAGGACCCAAGTTCAAGTCCCCAACATCCATGGAAAAGCTAGGCATAGCAGAGCACGCCTTTAATTTTAGCATTGGGAAAGGAAAGAGAGAGCTTGTTGAGTTGTTGAGCATCGAGCCTAGACAATCAGTGTGTGTGTGTGTGTGTGTGTGTGTGTGTGTGTGTGTGTATATATATATATATATATATATATATGTATATATATATATATGCATGCACATGCACACACACACACACACCTGAGATTCTGAACCATGAGCCCTAACTCCCCCCCCCATCCAACCCAGGCATTCTGGCCCACTTTCTGTCTCTATGTGTTTAAGAACTCTGAGGACCTCATATGCATGGAATCTGTTTACACTTCTATGACTGGTTTAGTTCACTTAGCATGTATCTCAAAGTTCATCCATGTATCTGAATTTCCTTGTTTTGAAGGCTGACTAATATTCTCCACTGAGGGCATGGACTGTGTGATTTGTCTATTTTCCCATAGATAAATGCTCACATGACTTCCTCCTTCAGGCTACTGTGAGGAGCTACGAGGAACACATACAAGTCTACCACAGATCTCTAAGATCCTGCTTTCCATACCCCAGGGTAAGTACCC